AATGCTCAGGAACGGGAGGAACGGTGGTCCCCTCCGCCTCCTGAAAGTCTCAGGCGGAACGGTCCAGCGCTTGTCCCTGCGCGGCCCGACCGCTGTTTTCGCAAGCCCACGGCGTTCCGGCCCGGATGCCGCGCGTTCTCGTCGAAAATGCGCGCCCGAGTAGAGCTCATAAATACCCTCGACTCCAGAAAGTCTCGTGGGAGACAACGCTCTCGTTGTCGCGCATCGCCTATTCTTCCCCCGGTGAGTGGTTTCAGCTGTTTTCTCAATTCAAATACTCAGCGCATGTGTTTTCAGGTCTGACGTACTCAACTACGTCATTACGCCACCTCGTCACGGGTCCCGTCGCCCTCCACGACGCGGTGCGGCGCCGCGTGTCTGCACCGCCGTCTTGAGGCCCGCCGCCCAGCCGCTGCTCCGATCGGGCTGGGAATGCACAAGCAGTTGGGGACCTGTCGTCCCCTACCCGTGTGAAGTTTTCAGCTCGGCCGATGCAGCGGCTGTGCCGCACGCGCAAGGGCGGACTTCCACCCGCCCTCCGCGCTGCCGGCCTCCGGCCGCGTCGCGTCGGCCCAAACGCGGCCAGCAGCCGAGGGTAGCATGTCACTACCGTATCTGAAGATTGCGCGCCGAACGGCCGCACCGTTCTCTCATATCGCCCAAGGTTCTGTTCGAGCCGACACACCGGCGAACCTCGCCAGATCTGGGCCGATCGGGCCGAAACGCTCCCCGACGGCGCAAATACCATAGGTCTAATTAACTGCTGAATTTCATGTGCTTAACTGCAGCGGTTGGCGTGCAATCAACAATTTTGTCTAATTTTTCATATAACTTGGAATGTCTGACAAGACAAATCTGTTCAGCCAAAGCTGCTTGTGGGTGAAACTTGAGTTTGAACTCAAAACCTAACAGCTCAATATTAACTGCCACTGCAGTAAAATTGTGTGAAAGTGAATTTTCAGTCAGATGTTTCTACAAGTATGCCAAACTGACAGCCAAGACTCACCCAGGCAGTTATGTCAAATCAGTGCCTCTATTAACTGGTTCCAAAATCTGCCCAAAAGCCACAGTATGTCAAATTGTATCCACTATATTTCCAGTTGAATACATTTCCAGCCATATAGAAATCCACTTTATCTGTTTCAAAGTGCCCTAAAATCCAGTCAAGTAAGTCAATTGGAGTCAACAGTCTGGTTCAGTCTGGTTCTTGGCGAAAAGCCAGACCGGGCCAAACTGAGGGCCAGGATGGCCTTCACCGAACGTCAGTCCAGTTCAGTTCGAACTGAAATCCCAAACCATGTATCTAGCACGTTTTAAGTTGGTTGGGCTTTCAATCCATTCTGAAAGCTCCGGAATACTGTACTGAAGGACTTGCATTTTGTCACTCAAGCATTGCCTTTCAATACAACTTGGGTCAATCTGTTGTAGTCCTTATTGCCAAGTCATTCATTTTGGGATTAACACATTTGCAATTGAAGGTCAGATTATAAGCCTTTGAAATACCTTTCTGACCGTTCAAGACCCATTTTCAAAGCTGCAGAAATGACTGAGATACAGCCCAAATGCTGTTTTGAAAGTAGAAAGTGTTACCAGGGGAGTAAATAAGTGTTACTAAAATATGCGGATACCTTGCAGTGTCAATGTTTAGTCCTTTCGAATACCTCTCTGGCCATATAAGAACCATCTCCATACAACCAGAACTCATTAAGATATAACCCTAATACTGTTTTGAAATGTTGGTGATTTTGTAAGTCAATCATTGACTTTGGACGGTCAGTATAAACTGGCAGGTCCTGGAAGCGTCCCCATGGACTCACACCAAAATGTGCACAAGTCAATTTGAGTCAATATAACTGCCACAGTAAGTGCTAATAAAACTTAGTCAATTTGTATCAAACCTGTGTTGAGTGGAATGATAATTTGTAGCCCCTGGAATTCCCTTTCCAACCATATAGAAACCATCCCAAACCGACCAGAACTGACAGAGATATGAGCCTAATTACTGTTTCCAAAGACTAGTCAAAGTCAGTCATTTTGCAGTCAACAGGTTTCCAGTTAAATACCATGTTATAGGCCTTCAAAATCCCTTTCTAGCCATATAGGAACCATTATTAAAGCTTCAGAACTCACTGAGATATGGCCCTAATACTGTTTTGAAAGCTCAGGGTTGGGTCAGTAATTTGCATTTTGCGAAGCAAGTATTGACTTTAAGCAAAAGTGTAAACTGGGCAGTTGGGTCTCAGAAGTGCTGTTATGAACCCAGACCAAAATCTGCTCAAGTCAATTTCAGTCAATCCAGTCAATAACTGCTGCAGTCAGTACTAACAAAAGTCAGTGGATTTGTAGGAAAGTTACAATAAGTTGAATGCAAAGTTGTAGTCCTACTGAAGACCTTTCTAACCATATATAAGGCATCCAAAATTATCACAGTGTAAGACTTACTGCCACAGTATTTTGTAATAAAAGTCATTCATTTTGTATCAAACATGGTTTCAGTTGAGGACCAGTTTGTAGGCCTCTAAAATACCTTTCTAACCATATATGACCCATCTTGAAAGCTTCAGAACTCAACAACTGCCACAGTGTGTACTAACAAAAGTCATTAGATTTGTAGGAAAGTAACAGTCAGCTGAATGCAAAGTTGTAGTCCTTTTGAATCCCTTTCCAACCATATACAACTCATCAAAAATTATGACAGTGTAATATTTACTGCTACAGTAATTGCTAATAAAAGTCAGTCAATTTGTATTAAACATGTTTTCAGTTGAAGACTATTTGGTAGGCCTCCAAAATCCCTTTCTAACCATATAGGAGTCATTGTGATCCAACCAGAACTCACTGAGAAATAACCCTAATACTGTTTTAAAAGACTCTGGTGTTTTGCGAGTATTTGTCAATTTGTGAGCCAACTATTAAGTTTGAAGCATAAGCGTAAACTGGGCAGTTAGATCTAAGAAGTGTCTCTACAATCCCAACTTCAGCCCTAAAGTCAGACCCAAGTGATTTCTCAAGCCAGCCCTAAAGTTGGCAGTAGCAGTCTAAGGTAGCAAGAGTCAATCGGTCAATATAGTCCAGTCAGCCTAGTCAAGTCACCTAGTAAGCTGGCCCTAAAGTAGTCTGGCAGTAATAGAGTCAGTAGCGCTCAGTCTTACTCAATATACCACAAGAATATAACAGGAATATAATACCAAGAATATAATAACAAGAATATAAGAAAAAAAGAGTCAATGGAGAAGCCGGCCCTAAAGTGGAATGGGTCCAAAACCCGATCCTTCAGCAGGCCCTAAAGTGACCTGACAAGAACAAAAAAAAATACTGTTGTTCTTCTTCTTTCACATCTTCAACTGGATGAATCCATGTCATTCACAAAGCTGAAGATAGGAAAGAAGAAGAAAGAAGAAGGTAGGTAGTAAAGGGGGTTTAAAAAATAGCTTTGAGTTTTATTGACTTCACTGTCACACCAGGCTGCAGTCCTGGATTTTTGTTTATAGACTTGTCAGGGCGTCCCCCAACAGAGTCTTCTGTAAAAGAAGTCACAAAAATCCTAGAAAAAGTTAGATATCCCCCAGAACCCATGAATAGAAAAGATAGGCAAGCTCCACCAAGTTACAAGTTCAAGTTACTTAGAAGTTGACTGTAAACTCACTTCAATCATGAAGAGCACCGTAAACATGACTTCTGTCCTTCACTCTCACAACCCTTGGTTCGATTCAACAGTTACTCCCAATCAACTGAAGGAGATCACCCTTTCACCAGTGGGGAGGCCTCTCCCAATGCCTAAGCATTGAGCCCACCAATTACTCAAATGACCTTTTTCCCCTTGTTATAGGGTATTCAGCCAACCTCTTTCACTGCCAAAATGTGGTCCCATACCACCCAGAGGTCTTCCTCCTTACAATAGGAAATGGCACCCCTCAGCCAACCCTAGGAACAAATTTTCAAAAAGCGTGAAAACAGCTGTCCACAATTTCGCGCTCGAAATTATTTCCTTTTTGGGAAATTTCATTAGCCTTCCACAACTCTCAGTTCTTATCCTCCTGCTTCTCATTTCAACTTTTTGGAATCTCCAGCTCAATATCTTTCAATCCCTCTCTTCACATTTCCCACAACTGAAATTACTTTGCTAATTCCACTAACTGCCAGCAGTTAATTTGCCGCAGTGCGGAGACCCGCGGACACCGATGTGTTAATTTGTTACAATGGAGTCAATTCTTTACACTGTGGCTTATCTGCCAGCAGTTCATAACTATCAGATACAAATTGCTTAATACAAGATTCGAACACATAGCGCAAGATTCAAACTCGACTCCAGTCACGCGCGTGACTCTCTTGCTTTCCGAACCACCACTATCTCTGGCGACACAACATCCCACCTGCCTCTGCGGAATCCTTGTTGTGGACAAGCTGAGCGGTGGAGGAACTTCTCGTCGTTGGTTTTTGTCAGGGGAACCCCCGCTTCGGCCTCCTTCGGACCTTCCGAACGCATCCGAGGTGCATCCGACCGGCGCCCCCTGACAAGCCTTTGGCTTGTTGTTGCTTGTTTGGTCTTGTTTGTCCATAGTTGTTAGTTGTTCCTGATCTCTCCCTTTATGTGTTCCTTAGTTCCTATATGTTTCCTTATAGTTCCTGTTCCTGTTCCTTCTCCTAGCTCCTAGTTAGTAGTGTATATAAGCCTGTCTCTAGTTTAGTTTCCACATCATATCATAGTTTCCCCCAGCAGAGTTTCCCTCAGAGTTCAAAGTCTTCCTTCTTCTTCTCCCTCTCTGGTTGTGCTGTAGCCTTTGGTTGCAGTTAGAGCAGTTTGAAGGGCTCTTGCTTTTCTTGTTCTTTCTCACACCAGTGATGCGTAGCTCGGCGAGCGCACGCATGGCGTAGTCGTCCGTCATGGTAACCGTCCAGAAGATAGACGGGTGGTGTCACGGTCACACAGGTCACCAGCTTACGTTGACAGTATGATCCAGGCGAAAATCTTCCCACACTGCCGTAGCTTACTCTTGACCATGACGACGAGCATCCCGCTGCCCTACCGCCTGTTCTTTCTCTACGTCGAACCCATCTTGGCACTTGCGGGAGCCTACTACGCAGCCTCCCAACCCGCCGCCTACATCCACGACCTTTCTCTCCCCTCTTTGCACCTGCTGGCGATGCCGCTGAGCGCGCAGTCCGCGATAGTGCTGCTTCAGCTGGCCAACTTGTACCTCCTCTTCGCGCTCAACGAGCATCTCGTGCTCTCTTCAACGGCTTCGCTAAAGACGTGGCGCCGGCTGCTCTTCGTCATTCTCGTGGCCGACTTTGTGCTGGGGGAGTGTGGGTTTCGTGTATGCTGGGGCATCTACACGGATAGCGTTTCTGTTGGGTGTGGCACTGCGCCCGGGAGACGGGGGGTGCCGGTATGAGGTGTGTCTCGCTATTGATTGCCCTCAGGCTCGGTTCTTAGCTCATATGTTTGCAGGACTGACATCAATATTCCCGCTTGTACAACATACTCACTTACAATCGATCTCACATGTCCGCATTGCCGTTTTACTCCTCAAATCGTATTCTGCGTGAATGCCCAAGAACCTCGACTTTCATACCCAGCTTAGACCCCTGCCCGACGGCTTGGGTCAGTTTTGTTTGCATCCTGCCGTCTACATCCATCCAACATGTTATGAACTGCTCTGTTGGACGCTGGCGTCGTTCCAAGGCCAGCCATTCAACCTACTGTGCCGAACTCTGCATACGACGGCAAGGTCTGCATCATCACGTTCAATCTTGCTCAGACTTCTCACACGCACTCCTCTTAGCACATTGTGGCGAATATCCAAGGACTGTGCCTTCCTTCTTGTGACTTTTCATGTTGTTATAGTCCTTAGGCTCCTCTATAGTAGTCTCTGGTTGGAAAACACTATCCACACCTGTATTACCTGAAATTATCACAAATTATCTCACATTTTATTAAATCATACAGACCCCAAAAATTATACATAATTTGATCTAAGCTACCTAGGGAGGTTTTTCCTGATGTGGCTCGGCATCCGCCGGCAGGTGAGCAGGCAGCGAAGAGGGCACAGCGGGGCTCAAGTCCTGAGCCAGGGGAAATAGACGAGAGTTGAGAAAGTCGACAGGATGTACAATCCCGCTTTCACGTGGGACAAAGTTGGCTAAGTACCAGGTGTTTGAGATATGGGCGTCGGAAATGAGAACAAATGCGAACGATTCGAGTTATGGGTGATGGGTATTGGAGCGAGGCATAACGTGCTGCAAAATGACATTCACTTCCTTCTCAAATTTGCCTTGGCGCATGGCGAACACGCGGCCAGAAACCTATTTTGCTCTTTCAACAGTGCGCTATTCCCGCAACGGCCTGCGGCAAAAGTATCCTTCACTCTCGAGTGAAAAGCAAACATTTCTCTTCAGCCTATGTACGCCCGGGCGTCGAACCGCCACGGGTCGCGCGCGTCATCATCGTGGTCCACACCAGTGAGAGTCGGACGACTTGCAGAACTGCACGAGGAATGGCCCGTACACCTGCCAAGCACCCATACCAACTTGAGGCACCCGCCAGAGCTCTTGCCAGCAAAAGAGGGAAGCATCATATCAATGTGCCCCGCAGGGGTTGAACCCGCATCGGGCCGTGTGGGCCAAGCTCCGACGCCTCGAAACCATCAGCAACTGTAACCGACTTGGCTCGGATGGCCACGACAGCTGTTGCTGGGGGTCCAAACCCGCAACAGCACTAGCCGACATTGTTCAGGTGGCCTCGGCATGGCCTTGGCGTGGCTGCTGTAGCCGGCGGGCCACTGAAACGCGGGCCATCCGCGGCCCGTTAGCCAAAACGCGGGTACCCGCACCCGCCGAAGCCGGGCCCGGGCCATCGGCGGGGAACGGGTACGGGCCACCCTGGATTTACCCGTGGGTGGCCCGTGACGAACACTAGTTCGATCGGGCCAGTGCGGAGAGCTTGTGAGTCGGCGGGAGGAGCGCCTGCGTCGTACTTGTCCCAACGCTGGCTGCGGGTGTGGCCCAACGGGCGCTGGGAGGCAAGGCAGGGCTGAGAAGCTGGATGTTGCTGCATGGAAGTCGGGATTGAAGAAGAGCCAATTGACGTGGCACGTGCACCACGGCATGGTCCGTGCGCGCGACGTCAATCATGGGCAGATCCTCCCTTCTCCTCCCTGGCCTAAATCCGCTACTCGCGCGCCAACGCTGCCAAAAGAACCAATGCATCAAACCATAATTGGCACATCCAGGCCCGTCGATCCCGGGTCCGCGCCGCACCCGCAAGCACATTTTCATGCAGTGTGTCAACAGTGCGATCCTTGCCCGCAACGGCAGTTACGGCACGCGGCCAAAGTATTCTTCGCTCTCCGGTAGTGTTCGTCACGGGCCACCCGCGGGTAAATCCGGGGTGGCCCGCACCCGTTCCCGCCGATGGCCCGGGCCCGCTTCGGCGGGTGCGGGTACCCGCGTTTTTGGCCAACGGGCCGCGGGTGGCCCGCGTTTCACAGGCCCGCGGATGGCATAAGCCACCCCCGAACCATCGAGGAGATGTCGGCTATCTTGCGGCTATCGCTGTTGCAGGTTTGGACGCCCCAGCAACAGCCGTTGCGGCCATCCGGGCCAAGTCCGAGCCAAGTCTCTGGCGGTTTTGAAGCGCCGGAGACCGCCGCCAAGGCCGGGTATCCGGTTAGCCGGGCCCGGCGGGCCAGTACGAGGGCCAGCGGGTTTGGGGCATCGGGCCCGCACCCGTTCCCGCGGAGGCCCGTCCTCACGGCCCGTCACGGGTCACCCAGCCCGTGACGATCACTACTCTCCGGTGAAAAGTAAACATCGGCAGCCCAAGGGGGGCGCAAGATGCCTATCACGGCTATGGGGCAGGGGGGGGGGTCCAGAGCCTAGAAAAAAAACTTTTGTGTTTGGTGTAGGGATGCTTCAAGAGGTACTTAGGAGGCCTTAGGAGGCCTTTCATATGTAGATCTTCCATGTTAAATGCCATTTTATACCTTTGAATGCAGTGAAACCCAGTTTTTTTGGTGAAGTGACTAAACTTGTCACAGTCTTTGATAGCATCAACATATCATCATGATGCAAGAAGCAATACAACTTTATATGAAAGTTCATTTAAAGGCATAGGAACATTATAATAGCCTAGTTACAATTTAATTTAATCACATTTTCCATTTTCATTTTGATGCGATTTTGATCGCATCAGTCACGTTTTCGTGGGAGATCATTACTATATAAGGCAGGAGGGGAGGGGGGGGGGGTCCAGTGGGCGCAAAAAAAAACTTTCAGCCCTATGTATGTAATTTCCACCTTGCGCCCCCCTTGCGGCAGCCTTTCAAGACCAATGTGCGCGCCCGGGCGTCGAACCGCGAGCCGCGTCGTCCTCGGCGAGGGGATCCACACCCGTTGAGCACTGGATCTGGCGGGGCTGGCAGGACTGCGCGTAGGCTGGCGCCGAGCACCCATACCCAGCACCCGCAGCAAAACAAAACAGGACGCATCCGTTGCTCTATGTGCCACGCAGGGGTCGAACCCGCGTCGGTTTACGTGCCACCAGATATAGACGCTCGCTGCCACATGCAGCTGTGTGCTCGTATTCACAACTCACCACGGTCAGAGCGTGTGCATCTTCTGTGCAGAGCCCGGCGCTATCGTATCCCAGCCAGGCGCCGACTCGGTGCGGGCATGACGGGCAGAAGCAAGTTGTCAAGCGCCACGTGCCTTGCATCACGACCATCATTGCCAAGAGTCACGCGTGACCATTACTCAGCACCTGTTTTTTTCACCACGACGACGACGGTATGGTGTCGGCGAGCCCTGGGGGTCAGGCACGCCGGGCAGGCGGTAGTCTGGGAGCAGTGGTCTTCGCATAGGCTGCGTGTCGCCGGCGTTTTCGACGAAGGGTCGCGACTCGCCGGGGATAGCAAAAGGCTGTATAAGGTGCGTTGACAACTTCAAGTAGTGTTCGTCACGGGTGGCGTGACCCGTGACGGGCCGCGAGGACGGGCCGGTGCGGGTACGGGTACGGGCCTGGTGCCTTGAACCCGCTGGCCCGCACCTTGGCCCGCCGGGGTCGGCTGACGGGCATACCGGTGGTCGGCAGGCAAGGCCGGGAGCTGTCGCGTCCCTTGAACGGAGGCCTGGCCAAGGTCCGGGCAGCCCAGACCTCGTTGTCGGGCGATAACTCGACATCGACACACATTTGGCAGTGCATCCGGCGAGATCCGCCGCTGATCAGATCGTGCGGGCCTTGGGCAACCGGGCTACCCGCGGCCCGCCCGCCAAAGCGCGGGTACCCGCACCCGCCGCCACGGGCCCGGGCCATCGGCGGGGACGGGTACGGGCCACCCCGGATTTACCCGCGGGTGGCCCGTGACGAACACAATGACAACGCATCCGTCTTACACAATGACAACGCATCCGTCTTCAGCCATGTCCAACCGTTGTCTACAGCGGATGTACTTACTCCGATGCACGGCCTCCCCTCGCCTCATTACATTTACTCACCATCGCCACGGCCCACATCACCGAGGACCTCCCCGTTGTACACTGGCAGGAGCGGCCGTCATGAGCTGCACACCGGGCTGGCAGGACGACCTCAAGTCTCGCTCGATCGCCCGCGTCGGGGCAATGTCACAGCGGCACGCGCACTGGCGGCGGCACGCATTGCCAAAAAAGCCGCTGTCGAGCCTCGATTGTCTCATGCTTGTGCGCGGTGCGAACACGCGGCACCAAGTGACCCCAGGCGGGAAGTTCCGGGCGTGACGGATACCGCCGCGCTGCCGCTCAGGCTCTTCGTCTACGAAGGACTCAATCGATATCCCCAATGTCCGCATCAACCATCCCGCGCATACGTAGCCCCGCCGCTACTAGGACCCCGCTGTCCCTTGCCCCTATGACACTCCGCGTCCGGCGAGGGATTTACAACGGCACTCTCGCCGCCTCTGCGGGCGATGCCCGGCGACGCCAACCCGCCGTTCCGAGCTCCGAGCCGGGCCAAAAAGAACGCTGTTTTCGCACATGTTTTAATTGGCCAAGCGGGGGGTCGAACTCGATCGGCCTGAGCTCGGGGTGATGCGCGGGGCTCGTGTGTACTTATCTGGCCCCGCAACATCCATCCCAAGATACTCAGGCGTGGGAGCGGGACCTGGCAGGACTGCGCGGCGGATGGCCAGTACTCCGCCGAGCACCGGAAACACCCTATACAAGCGTCCGCCGGAGCTCCGGGAGGCAAAAGATCGAAGCTGTGTCTCGAGCCCACGGCCAGCGCAGCGCTATGCGGCGTTTGGCATGACCGCCGAACGGGGTGTGACAACGGTGCAGTAACCCCGGCCACGCGGCCCCTGCCCCCGCGAATCAGCCCGGGCACGGCGCACGGCAAAAGAATCGAAATGCTTGAAGTTGCCATGGGCTCGCCCGGGCGTCGAACCGCGGGCGGCGTCAGCGACGGCGGTGGCGGGAGGTTCACAGCCGTAGGTGGAGTTGCGAGCTGGACCTAGCCGAGCATCCGAAGCACTCCAATCCGCCCCGAAAAACGGAAGGAAGGATACCCCACGAGCCCCGGCCCGGCGGGGTCGAACCCTCGGCCGGCGCCGCTGCCAGTGCGGACGGAACACCACTGGCTGGGGCGTCGCCAAGCAGGAAGCCATGGCTCCTTCCAGCCTGCCGCAGGCCCAACGCTCCACCCTGACATCGCGGCTGGGTGCTGAGGTGGACGGCACACCGGGGTGTCCGCACTGTCTGCCCACGGACAGCCAGCTCTGACGATGCCAAGCGTCGCAACACATGCAAGCCAAAAAGTCCTTCGCTTCAACTGGCACATCGCGCGGCGCGGGGTTCGAACCCGCGTCTGGGTTTTGTGGAGAGAGACCCCCCGGGTCGGCACGCAGTACCGCTTCCTGGCTTCCCTTCCCCGTGGGCCCGCACCGAAGCTCTGGCCCGTCTGCATACGCCAAAAGAACGCGCCGCCCCAGCACACACTTCCGGGGCCATTTACATTCGTCCGGTGCGCCATGATCCACCCCTTCACAAGCCCGGGGGAGAACACCCAGACCCCAGCCGAGGACCCGCGACACCGTGACCCCTATTGCACAACTGACACACAGGCAGCGGCTGCTGCCCCGCCACCGCGACGCGCCTTCCGAATCCGGCCCGAGCGAGCTCCAGCCGACCAAAAATCCACCCTAACGTCGACGCTCCCCATATGCCCCGTGGGGGTCGAACCCGCGTCGGTGCCAGATCTAGCCGGTGGCCTCCAGGCTCGTCGACACATGATGATGCGGAGGTGCACATTCAGCGCTGCAGGGGCCCGCGTCTCCCGCGTCCTCGATGGCGCAAACTTGCGCTCTTCACACTCCTCCATGAACGCCTCCATCACTCGGGCCGTCGCCTCGCTCGGGACTGCGTTCGCGCGGCACAGCGCGTTGAGCGGCCGGGACGGCACGGGCAGGGGCGCGCTGAGCAATCATCAGCGGTGCCGGAAGGCGTGCGACGGCGCACCTATCCCAGTCCGCGCGCCGACTCGGTGTCGGACATGAAGGGCAGAAGCAGGTAGTTGATCGCCACGTGTCTTGCATCACGACCATCATTGCCAAGAGTCAAGCGTGACCATTACTTACTCAGCACGGCAGTTTTTTCGCCACGACGACGATTGCGTTGGCATCGGCCGGCTCTGGGCTCAGGCGCGTCCGTCTCTTCTCGCCGCGTCGGCGCTAGTCCTGGAGAGCTCACCGGACTGTCCATGCGCTGCTATCGACGGCGTTTTCGACGAAGGAGATACGGAAAGTGAGGGAATAGGGCTGGATGCGGTGCGTTCACAGTGCTTCCTTCTCGAACATATTCAGACTTCGTCTACAGCTGATGCCCTACGACGCGCGCCATACCCCGACGCGGTGGCTGCCCCCGCGCGCCGCACCTTTCAGACTACGACGACTCGTCGTAGTCTGAAAGGTGCGACGACTACCGGGGGTCTCCCTCCAACGGGCTTTGTCCAGGGTCTCACTCAAGCAATAACTCTCAACACATGCCTCATTTCCAAGGACACTCCTCCCCCGTCGCTCTCGCCGCGCGCTCGCTCTCCGACGCCGATACGACGAGTGACGGGACAACCACAGCGGATATGGGCGGGACCGCAACGACTCGCCGCTCTTTGACTCGGAGTCATGGCCGGCATGTCCCCAACCACGCACACACATACGCTGAACACTCCCCCGAGCGCAAGGCGTACCCCAGACCCTCCCTCTCACCCTCACCTTCGCCTTCCCGCCGCCCCACGATGAACCTCCCCTACGGCAACCCGATCGTCCCGCGCTACCTCAGCATCTCCGTCGGCCACTTCCTGCGTTCTCCTAGTCCGACGCCCACTACTGACTCCCCACCCGTCCGCACTCGGCGAGTAATTCCGCCGGCGGCCCCGCCCCTTCGAAGTTCGGCGCATGTGCGCTGTTCTATGCGGCGACAGCGCCGGGTGGAGCGCCCGGCCGACTGAAGATGATCAGCCAAACACGGACTTTGGGCCCAATATAAAAAACTTGGAAAATATGGACGAACAGCATGATGCCTGGCGGCCTGCTTCGAACAGACCGCGCGACGCGCTGTGACTTGCCGTGTGCCCATATGGACTCGGCAGTGGCCTGGACACATTCGTTTCGACATTCAGCGGGTGTGTGTCTTGCCTAGAAACCTTACTAATGTACATGTCTGACTCCCAGGCTAGAGGCGCGATGGACGGTCCGAACTATGCATTAGTAACTGGCGAAATTAAGAACCTCTACGTATGTGGCGCTCATAACGACAAGTACCGTACGCGTCACTGGGCGGAGCCACACCCGTCCGATTCATCGATCTGGGGTGCGTGGCCCCTCTGAAGACTAAGCACCGTTGTCTAACCGTTCAATCAGCTGTTTGTTCTTTGAACGCACTCATACTGAGATATAAAACGGGCTGTCTCGCTGCTTGCTTGCCCTCAATCTGCTGCGCAGCATCCCTCCACGATCAAATTCATCCACCTCTATCGTGCCCATTCTTTCATCACACACTCTATATGCGCTCCCTCAAGATTCCCGCGACTCCGGACCACTATCCCGCCCGCTCACGCCGGTGGCAGCCACGGGATCCCCGCGGCCGTCCGTCTACGCAGCCACGCCGATTCCTGCCCCACCTCTTCCTGCACCCAGGGCCCACCTCGGCCGGCCTGGCCACCCCGCCCGGTTCGTGGACGCACGTGCTCCGGGTGGCCACGGCGACTAGCGAGCACCCCAGCGGCACCTTCGCCGTCGCGCAGTCTGCGCACAGCACGCACTTCCTGACGCTGTACGTCGCGGCCTCGGACATCGCAGACCCTGGCCGGGACACGGCGCGGCTTATTCTGGGCCCGCGGCAGCTCATGGCCGCGCGCGACTTCCTCGCGCTGGCGCTCCCTCATGGCCCGGAGCTCGGTGCTCCCGACGACGTGCACGTGCTTCCCGCGGGCCTGGAGGCCCCGCGTGTGGTGCTCGTCGGCCCGCAGCGGACGTTGCTCGTCATTGCGCTCGTGTACCGCGCCTTCGCGGCCTGTTCCTCAGTTAAGACTGTCATCGAGGCCGCTATGGAGGATGAAGAGGATATAGAAGACCGTGAGCTGCTCGGTGGGGATGCAATGATGGGTCTGAGTGCGCGTGAGATTCAGGTGCTGGAGTATTTCGCAGCGGGGGGCGATGACATGATGTGACTATGGCTCAGGGAGGATTTGACTTCTTTCCAAGCACTGGAAATTGACTTCTTGATAATACATTTAGTGCTTAACTAAGTTAACGTTGCGCACCAAGCCCGCATCGTTGAATGCATTCTTTGGGGATCATATTTGTGAAGCCGCCCGATCGGACCGGGAGGGGGGCTGTATCTGTTGGCTCGTCTACAAGGATCAGTTTTTTTTTTTTTTCATATTTACTGTCATGTATGATCTAGTGTACGAATGTCGTTGGCACGGATCACAGGTCAGTAACACGTTTCACCATGTGTGACATTCCCACTTCTGACAGTCATCATGTCGACGGCCACGTTTTCCACCAACGATGTCCCCAACGAGCTTTGGCTTGAAATCGCAACCCATCTCCCCCGCGAACAGTTGCAGACGCTCTTCCAGGCCGACCGGCGTCTCAGCCAGGTCACCCGTCCACTCCTCTTTGCCGACCTTGTGTTTTCTCGGACATATTGCCACGATCCGTTCATGGCCGCTCGTCCTGCGTTCCACAGTGGGGAGCAACGGCTGGACCACTGGCTATCGGAGAACATCACGCCGTTGGTTCAATCATGCCACGTTGCCGTGCAGGAGCTCAGCGCAAGGGACCTTGCCAAGCAGCTGCCTGTGGGCCCGGACTTTGTGCTTCCCACGGACCCACAGCTCAGCCTTCTCTCAAATCGATTGGTCGAAAACATCCCTCGGTTCCTGGGACTGCGGCAACTTATGATCTATAATGAGCAGCTTTCAAGAACTGTCATTGCTGGCATCCATGCCTTGCCACACCTGGAGCACCTGAACCTCAAGTACAGCGCCATTGATGACGATGTAATTCAGCTTTCTCTGGCCCAAACATGTGCTCCCTTGTCTCACCTCAAGCTTTTGTGGATGCGGTCTTCTGTACCAGAGAGCAAGCAATTCTTCTGGAGTGCCTTCTTTAACCCCCAGTCCCTCCATGCACTATGTCTCAACCTTGCTCTTCCATTGTGGACCCAGGACCCAGCCAGTGTACCTGTCTTTCTGCACACCACCAAGCTCACACTTCTTTATACTGATCACCCACCATCTGCATCATTCATCGCCATCCTCACTGAATCATTCCCTGCCGTGTATGACCTCGGGCTGTTTCCCACTCCTTCTAGACGCCAGAACTGGCTGCACCATCCTCATAATCTGCTTCGGGAAGCACTGTGCACAGCTTTCCAAACACATCGTAGCAAACTTGTCAGGCTCCGCGGAATCAGTATTAGTATTTTGAAGGTTTTTCCTGTCACCACAGGGCCGTGGTTTATAACCCATCTAGGCCTCTCACGTACCTTCACTGGGTCCTATGGACTTCAAAATGACCTGCCACAATGGCCAACCCTCCAATATCTGGCATTTTCTACCCATCATATTGATGCAACATCACTCAATGAGATCTTGGGGCTCTACCCACAGTTGGAGGCTGTATACTTATATGGAGTTGAATTGCCTCTGGTAACCATTACTCTTTGGGCCACACTTTTCTGATAACTTGTATCCCAGAGCTGGAAAAAGAAAGTCTGGGATGACCTATCTTCTGATCTAGTCCTCCCCTCCACCATGCGGGCACTGCTTATCAACAAACCTTTATTGAAGTCTAGACGAGCTTATATCCAGGACCCAGAGCTTATCTGCTCTGTCACCAACAGTGATGCACAGACACTACTTCAGGAGTTTGTTGCCCACTATCCTCAACTCACAACACTCTGGATCTGCTGTGAAGACTTCTTCATCATGCGCAACCATGAGAATGACACTACCAATCAGCTTATTGCAGAGGCCGGCATTGATTCCGTGGAGGCCATGGCTAGGCAGCATATAGAGATTTGGAACCGGCGTGAAGATTTCATCTAAAGTATGCTCAAAAGGTTTAGTTCAATGAACACTGTCTTTTTTTCCTGGCCTGAAAATTAATATATATGAGTGACATATAGGTATGAGGGTTTGAGAGATGTAAGAATGGGGGGTATCTGCACCATGTTTTAGTACCCAATGCTACTACTACCTATGTTAGCAAGTAGTTCAAGAGTGTGAATATAGGGCTAGAGAGTTTTTTCTGACCCTCCAGGGTGAACCCTCCTGCCATATCAGGTAATATGATCTACATCATGTGACCACCGATGTGATCGAAAGTGGCACAAATATTGAGCCTGTGTAAAAGTTAAAGAATCTCATATATATGGATGTTACTCTGATATTAAGCAGATGTCGTGCGAATGTATGCACATGTTTGGCACAGACCTCAGCAATTCATTTGCTCAACATTTCCATTTTTGGAGTCACTGCTGTTAAAACCCCAAATTGGTATCAAAAGCTGTAAAATGTGACCAATTCAAATGGGGTACAAAGCTATATATGATATATTGCACCCAGTACCATAAAATATTATATCTGGGGCTATTTACCATGCTGACACCTCAATATGTACTAAGTACTCTCAATTTTCCCACAAATCAATAAGTAAATATACAAAGTTTACTGACTTGGTTTGCAATCTATATAGATCATAGTAGACCAGATATTTAAGAGGGTTATTATTCACCCATTCTGTAATTAGTGGGATTTGTTTTAAAATTGGAAATCAAGTAGGCAACCCTGGAGACTCTGACGAAAGCCTAGCAGGGGAGGATCCAAAGAGAAGAAACTCTAAGGGTCCGCCTGCTAGGGCGCCAACTATATACTGGTCGTCCGTAACTGCCGACGTAGAGCGCAGAAGGTCTGAGCGGCGTCGCAGGCTCTGTTCCAAGGTGATCGTTGGGAGGGTCTTGACGGATCGGTGATTGTGCGGGCGAAGGAGGCCGTGGACGATGGTCGGGGTGGGTCGGAGCGTCTGAGGGGGCAGTCAGATGTGCCTCGGATGTGCTCGGACGGTCCGAAGGAGGCCGAAGCAGGGGTTCCCCTGACACCTGGCATAATATAATTGTAATCATATTTATTCATAATCATATTTTCATGTATGATTATGGAGGAGGCATATTATAATCATATTTAATTGATTATACTCAAAATATAATCTGGCATAATATAATTGTGGACAGCACTACACCCTAGTATAAGTAAGCAACATGTCTGAGGGCATCTGCATTATATATTACTAGACAGAGCTGGGGCTACGCCCAGCTGTGAAAAATGCCACTAAATACAGAATAGCACACAGGTGAAGCATGCCTAGTGGCCTTCTTAACTATCTGGTCTACTATTGTTCACATAGATTTCAACCCAAGAAAGTAAATTTTATGTACATCAGGAATTGTCAGAAAATTAAAGTATGCTGTACACCCTTAGATATTAGTACAGTAAGTAATCCATAAGATGTGTCCATGCTACTGGGAGCAAGATCATGATGTCATCTGCAGCTTTATATCCCAATGAGGATTGGTCACATTTTACAGCTTTTCTTACCAATTCAGGGCTTTAATAGCAGTGATCCCAAAAATAGAAGTGTGGAGCAAATGAATTGCTAAGGCCAGTGCCAAACATGTGCATACATTCACACGACATCTGCTTAATATAAGAGTAATCATCTGCCAGAAAAAAGCTACCCTAATAACACAAACCAAATGCCCATGTAACAGCCGGATCGAACCAGCACGAGGCATGTATGGGTGCGCCTGCGTGCACTCCAGACATATGACGTCTTTCCACTTTTGTACTGATTCGGTCAATTTCGGTGATGTTTGTATCCAGGCTGAGAGCGGCCTGCCCAAGTTGTCGACGGTGACTCGGATGACTAGCCATGGATGTGCTCTTCTTAGGAGCTAGTACTATAGATACGCGTCTGGATAGCTACTGAGAAGAGCAGTGCTAATGTAGATACGTGATCTGGGCCAAGAAAACTATGAGTGATATAATAAGTATTGCAAGTACAGACTATTATAACCAAGGAGTGGTTGAAGAACTTGGACTGTGAGATAACGTGGATTACACAAGCTATGTACAGACCTGTGGAGGCTGGAGCTCGACTACAATCGAGTATATTCATGATCATCTTCTGAACGGGATGCTCGGGTAGGGAGAATACATTCCGAATATGAATAAATCAGGAAAATTGCATATTCACAAGCACTACCAATACTTTTTCCCATTGCGCGCGCGCGGCGCCGAACGGGCAGAGGATGCTTAGCCATATAGCGCGGACTAGCCTACAGAGGGTCCTGGTGACCGAAGATGGACGAGCCACCCGGCGGCGCGTGGGCCGTGAGTCCCGTGACTCCGGTGCAGCGCCGCGCCGCGCCCGAGTTGGTCAGACGATGTGCGGGGTAACAAGTTGATTGAACGCAAAGATAGATAGAACACGACAAGACAATGGTATGAAGTGGTAGAGAAATGCGGGCATCCAGGCCCGCCAATGAGAAACAAGAACGGGGACGGCAAGTCGGGCGTCGGCTTAGACGGAGACCATCTGGCTGCACACCGCGTCAGCTTGCTTACACAGAGGAGAAAGGGAAGGGACGTGGACGCACTCGAACTGGCCGATGATGTTGCCCGGCGGGGCGTACTCGCAGACGTAGTACTCGGCGGTGTTCTGCGCGGCGCCGAGGTCAGCACACGGGGGCACACGCGGCCCGGACACGCACCGTGAACTTGGGGTCGAAGATCGTGCCGGGCGCGCACACGGTGAGCGCACAGCCGACCTGCGTCGTCCCGCCCACGACCTGGGTGAAGTGCGACGGCACGGGGTTCTTCGGGTCGTAGTCCTCTGCTTTCGTCAGCGCCCACCCCTACGTGCAAAGAAAATAGGGCACTCACTGACTTCGTTCGTCCACGACACGATCGCCTTCTCAATCCCGCACTTGCCCGTGCCCGCCCGCGAGGTTCTCGCCCGAACGGGCCGACCTTCCCGCCCGAGTGCTCGAACACGCACGTGTCCGCGACCTTCTGGGCCGCGGCGGAGAGCGTGTCGTTCCACGAGAGGGGGTCGCCCTTGTGGTTGGCGCGGATGTCGTTGTGGAACTTGAGGTACAGCGCCTGGTCCGCTGCGGAGACGAAGCGGCGCGACGGCCGCCGCGCCGGCGTTGATGGCGCCGGGGGAGCGGGCCCGGTCGGCGCGGACGCCGGGGCGGGGTGGAGCTTGTAGAGGTGGGCGCCAGGGGTGGCGGGGGGTGGCGGAGGCGGAGGCGGCGGAGGCGGGGCTGCGGCCGGGGTGCTAGGACGGGGCCGGGGGGGGCGGTGGCGGGGCCGGGGTGTTCGGGGGGGGGCGGCGGTGGTGCTGGGCTTGGGCGTGGCGTTGACGGCGCCGCCCGACGTTGGCGGTGGGGCGGCCCTTGGCGAAGGGGCGGGCGGGGGCGGCCGTTGCGGGTGCGCTTGCGGCCGTAGTGGGCGCCCTTGTGGTCGCCGTGGGCGAGCACGGCGGGGAGCAGGAGCAGCGCGGCCGCGAGGAGCACGGCGAGGAGCGGGAGGCTGCGGGGCGTGGGCCGGCCATGGTTAACGAGGGTGGGTGGGTAACGAGCGACAACTGGGGGAGAGAAGGAAGGGGAGGGACGGCAGGTCGCAGGGGTATGGGTACGCCCGCGCTGGCGTTTACGACGCGTGTCTGCGGCAAGGCACCCCGCGGGGGCCGCCGTTGTGCGGAAGAGCAGAGGAAGAGGCTGCGTGGGACGAAGACGTGGCGTGCACGTGCCGCATGCCGTCACCCGCGCTTCTTTTTATCAACCACCACCCTCAAACCGCAAATCGCTCAACGACGCGCAGCGAATCCAGCCAGGCGCAAATCTGGTCTTTATCTTGCTGGCAACACCGGCGCGGTACTCGGCGTCGGCGCTCGGCAAACACATCTCTCGCGGCTGCTGGTGCCACGCCGACACTCTCCCTCCCACATACAACTGGCTTTAGCACCCCACCCGAAGCCTCTTCCCTTCTCCGCTCTGCCCTGCCGTTTCTGCCCATTCTGGGCTTGAATTCGTCACCGCGCGCGATCTCGCCGTCGGATCGTCGCGAAAATCGTCACGCGCAAGGCGCGACACTCCCTCGTCATTCGAATGGTGTTTGTCGGCCCATCTGCCCGCTGGATTCGGGCCACCGCTGGGCTCCCGTTTGGCCAAAACCTAGCCGTTTGGGGCCGGGAATGGCCCCCGGTGTCCCTCGGGCATGTCCGGGGAGGCTCAAAGACCATATCCCAACCGGTTCAGCGCGTCTCGGCGCTTGTCGGCGGGCCGCATCGACCGTGGTCGCTGTTGACGGCGTTGTGGGCAGGACCGGTGAGCGCTGGGCTCAGTTCGTGCCCGTTCTGGCTGGAAATTTAACCACAGGTAGCGACATTGCGACGCTCCCTCTCCTGAAGATTTCAGGGCCAACGGCCGAGCGGGTGGGTCTGCGGCTGCAGGTCTCCGCGAGGTGCGTGTTTCTTCCATCTGTGGCTTCTTTTCTACTAATTTATTGCTCTCTCAGTGTCCCCAGCACTTCGATGCAACCCGCCATCCGCATTCCCGCCGCTACCATCGTCGTTGGCCCACTCTGGGCTCAAATCTCGCAAGAACCGGTCACTGCGCGCGATCGCGACCGCGGATCGACGCGAAAATGGACTCGCGAAGAGCGGAGGACGTTCCCGTCAAGAAGCTGGACTTCTGTGGCGATCCGCCGGCTGGATGCTGGCCAGCAACGCGCCGGGTTTCCCCGGCAATCGCCCGTTTCGCGCCGAACGGGCTCCGGAGGCCCTCGGCGACGTCCGGCAACGTCGATGACAACGTAAGGGACGTGTCCCAAGGTGCTCGACGCGCTCGCGGCCTCAACGGCGGGCTACATCGGCCATTCTCGGCCAAGACCGCGTCTTGCCCGCGATTCGAGGGCGCTGGGCGCAATTCTGACGCGTTCCGCCCGAAATTCTCAGCGATACGGGAGACACTGTGCCTCTCCATTTCCTGAGATTTCCAGGCAGAACGGGGCGGTGGCTGGCCCTGCGCGGCCCGACCGCTGTTTTCGGCAAGCCCGCGGCGTTCCGGCCCGTCTGCCGCGCGTTCTCCTCGAAAGCGCGCGCGTGAGTAGCCCTGATATGCACCTTCGACTCCAGAAAGTCTCGTGGGACACAACGCCGTCGTTGTCGCGCATCGCCAATTCTTCCCCCGGTGAGTGGTTTCAGCTGTTTTCTCAATTCAAATGCTCAGCGCATGTGTTTTCAAGTCTGACGTACTCGCCTACGTCACTGCGCCACCTCGTCGCGGGTCCCGTCGCCCTCCACGACGCGGTGCGGCGCCGCGTGTCTGCACCGCCGTCTCGAGGCCCGCTGCCGAGCCGCTGCTCCGATAGGGCTGGAATTGCACAAGCGGTTGCGGACGACGTGTCCCCTCCCTGTGTGAAGTTTCCAGCCCGGGCGATGCAGCGGCTGTGCCGCACGCGCAAGGGCGGACTTCCACCCGCCCTCCGCACTGCCGGCCTCCGGCTGCGTCGCGTCGGCCCAAACGCGGCCAGCAGCCGCGGGTAGCATGGCACTACCCTCCTTGAAGATCTCGCGCCGAACGGCCGCACCGTTCTCCCGTATCGCCCAAGGCTCTGTTTGAGCCGGCACACTGGCGAACCTCGCCGTATCTGGTCCGATCGGGCCGAAGCGCTGCCCGACGGCGCGAATATCATAGGTCTATGTAATTCCTGAATTCCCTGTACTTAGCTGGAGCGGTTGGCGTGCAATCAACAATTTTGTCTAATTTTTCATATAACTTGGAATGTCTGACAAGACAAGTCTGTTCAGCCAAAGCTGCTTGTGGGTGAAACTTGAGTTTGAACTCAAAACTTAACAGCTCAATATTAACTGCCACTGCATGAAAGTGAATTTTCAGTCAGATGTTTCTACAAGTATGCCAAAAAGACTCAACCAGGCAGTTATGTCAAATCAGTGCCTCTATTAACTGGTTCCAAAATCTGCCCAAAAGCCACAGTATGTCAAATTGTATCCACTATATTTCCAGTTGAATACATTTCCAACCATATAGAAATCCACTTTATCTGTTTCAAAGTGCCCTAAAATCAGTCAATTGGAGTCAACAGTCTGGTTCAGTTTGGTTCTTGGCGAAAAGCCAGACCGGGCCAAACTGAGGGCCAGGATGGCCTTCACCGAATGTCAGTCCAGTTCAGTTCGAACTGAAATCCCAAACCATGTATCTAGCACGTTTTAAGTTGAAAACACATTTTGTATCTGACCATACCCATTTGGAAAGCTCCGGAATACTGTACTGAAAGACTTGCATTTTGTGACTCAAGCATTGCCTTTTAGTTGCATCAATCTGTTGTAGTCCTTACCGCCAAGTCATTTGAACATCAGATTATAAGCCTTTGAAATACCTTTCTGACCGTCCAAGACCCATTTTAAAAGCTGCAGAAATGACTGAGATTCAGCCCTAATTGAAAGTGGTATTTAAACCAGCACTAAGTGTCACCGGAGCAGTTACACCAAAATATGCACAAGTAGACGACCTTTTTAACCATATAAGACCCATCTTGAAAGCTTCAAAAATGACATAGATATACTGTTTTGGAATGCCACTACTAAAACTCAGTAGATTTGTAGTCAACTAGTTGAAATTTGTATACCAGGTTGTAGCCATCGTCGATGCCTTCCTAACTATATAGAAATTATTGAAAACAATGATCACCCAATATTGTCTGTCACACAGTATTTTGTAGTAAAAGTTGATGGATCTGTATCAAAGGATGATTTATAGCCCTTTCCAACCATATAGAAACCATCCTAAACTGCCTAGAACTAACAGAGATATGAGCCTAATACTGTTTCAAAAGACTATTCAAATTTTGTTGTCAACATATTTTGAGTTGAACACCATGTTATAGGCCTTTCAAATACCTTCCTGACCATATGAAAACCATCTCAATCCAACAAGAACTCATTAAGATAAAGCCTATAAACTGGCACCAAAATCAGCACAATAAGTACTGCCGCAGTACACACTAATTGTGATAAACTAAATATAAGTTGAATACAAAGTTGTATTCCTGCTAAAAACCTTTCTAATCATATATAAACCATCAAGAAATTCAACAGTGTAACATGAACTGCCACAGTGTATCCTAATAAAAGTCAGTCGTTTTGTAGTCAACATATTTGCAGTTGAAGACCAGTTTGTAGGCCTTTAAAATATCCTTCTGACCGTATAGGAACCATCTTAAACCGACCAGAACTCATAGAGATATGAGCCTATTACTGTTTCAAAAGACTGAAAGTATATGACATTTTGTGAGTCAAGTATTGACTTTAAGCCACAGTGTAGACTGGGAAGTTAGGTCCCAGAAGTGTCCCTATAGACTGGCACCAAAATGTGCACAAGTCAATTTGAGTCAATATAACTGCCACAGTAAGTACTGATAAAAGTCATTGGATTTATATCAAACATATTTCCAGTTGAATACCAGTTTATAGCCTCTGTAAAGCCCTTTCTGACCATATGAGAACCATCTTAAAAGCTTCAGAAATGACTGAGATACAGTGCTAATACTGTTTTTGAAAGTGCAAGTTACACTAAGTCAATATGTTATTAGATTTGTAGGAAAGTTCCAATTAGTTGAATACAAAGTTGTACTCCTTCTGAAGACCTCTCTAACCATATATGAACCATTAGAAATCATCACTATTCAACTCTTACTGCCACAGTATTTTGTAGTCAAAGTCTGTTATTTTGTAGTCAACAAATTTTGAGTTGAATGCCATGTTATAGGCCCTTTAAATACCTTTCTGACCATATAAGAAGCATCTCAATCCAACAAGAACTCACTGAGATAGAGCCCTATTACTGTTTTGAAAAAAAGCAAGTGCCGCTGCACAAGTCAGTTTCAGTCAAGACAGTCAATAACTGCTGTACTGACACAAGTTGATAGATTAGTAGTTAATTAAACAAAAGTTAAATTGAAAGTTGTAGCCCTTCTAAAGAGCTTTCTAACCATATATAAACCATCAAAAATTATCACAGTGTAACACTTACTGCCACAGTATCTTGTAGTAAAAGTCACTCATTTTGTAGTCAACATATTTCCAGTTGAATACCATGTTATAGGCCTTTCAAATACCTTTCTGACTATATAAGAACCATCTGAATCCAAGAAGAACTCAGGTAGATACATCCCTAATACTGTTTTGAAAGACTCTGGATTGGGAAAGTATATTGCATTTTGTGCGGCAAGTTTTGACTTTAAGCCAAAGTGTTAACTGGGCAGTTAGGTCTCAAAAGTGCCGCTATGAACCCACACCAAAATCTGCCCAAGTCAATTTGAGTCAATACAGTCAATAACTGCCATAGTGTGTTGTAACAAAAGTCAATAGATTTGTAGTAAAGCTAAAATGAGTTGAATGGAAAGTTATAGCCCTTTCAAAGACCTTTCTAACCATATACAACTCATCAAAAATTATCACAGTGTAAGACTTACTGCCACAGTATTTTGTAATAAAAGTCATTCATTTTGTATCAAACATGTTTTCAGTTG